TTTTGACGGCCAGCACTTCGAGGCTCTGCCTGCTGAAAGCCATTTCTCATGAAGCATTTCTCTGGCTGAGCGTCACCTCCTTAAAGCAGCATCAGGCTGCCCAGTGGATTTTTGACGGCCAGCACTTCAAGGCTCTGCCTGCTGAAAGCCATTGACTCATGAAGCATTTCTCTGGCTGAGCGTCACCCGGTTGATGTAATGAATCGGCTTTGCCTGACGCTTTTCCCATGGAGCCATTGTTCACTAGAGTTTCTGAAGCAGGCTCTTTTCATTTATTCATGAATTCTCATTGGGCATCTGATGGAGTCAGCCCTTGTGGGCTTCTGCTGGCATTCAGCGCTGTTGCTTACACATCACTCAAGTCCATCACAGTGCAGCTTTCTTTCTGTTTTTTTGGTTGAGATTGTCATGGTATCTCAGAGTGTCACTTACTTACAGCCGAGAATGCTCAAGAAGATCTTGGGATTGTCTGGTAATGTTATCTGAATGATCACAATTTGAAGGTTTGATGTCCTAATTCCTATATCTCCAAGCTAGTCAGGTACCTTCCAAATTACTGATAGGAGACTCAGAAATATGGTCTCAGGGCTGGTGAGATGGTTCAGTGGTTAAGAACACTTGCTGTTCTTGCAGAAGATGGAAGTTGGGTTATCTGCATCCAACCGGTTCTCCAGCTCCAGGGAGTAGCATCTATACTTGTACATACGACCCACATAGACACACACACACATGCACGCGCACGCACGCACGCACCCACAATTAAAAATAGAAATGTGGTCCCTGTAGCTCTCCTTAGAGGAAGCAATGTCTGTTGCTTTTAAGAACCATGGCTTCTGCACTCGGGAGGCAGAGGCAGGCGGATCTCTGTGAGTTCGAGGCCAGCCGGGTCTACAGAGTGAGTTCCAGGACAGGCTCCAAAGCTACACAGAGAAACCCTGTCTTGAAAAAGAAAAATAATAATAGTAACACATAGCTTCTGCCCTGTATTTGTCTGTACTATGTCATGGGAAACTAGTTTGCCTGTCTTCTATGCAATGGGATTTAGAAAGAAGTACAATTCATAGACAGACAGACAACCTGGGAATTTCTAGGCTCACTTCTTTCTTGCCTCATATTTGTAATTCTTTAAGAAAACCCAAATCTCAGCCACTGTGAAATATAAAAACGTTGATTGGGTGCTTGTGCTCTAATAGGTGGTAACCACAAGTACAGCGTTTTCCAGTAGGAATCCAGCTTCTAAAATCCAGGTCTGTGTTTACCAGGTTCATGTACTGAAACATGTCTGTAGCATAGGAGATAGATACCAAGCAAAACAGCTCAGACAATTGATTTTGGTTTGAGTAAAACAAAAATGAACCCTTTTTCCACTGAACTTTTTAGTTTCCATCACATGAACCCATTTATAAGATGAAGATGTAACAGATGCATAGGAAAATATCTTAGGAACCTTTTAGGGCTCAGCAGGTAAAGGTGCTTGCTGAACTAACTGGAGCTCAATCCTCAGAATCTGTGATGGAGGAGAAAATGGACTCAAGAAAGCTGTTCCCTAGACTCAGTATGTGCACTTACCTGTGTGCGTGTGCTCGCACACACTTACATTTTAAAGAAATGTCTTAAGAGTGCCAGACAGGCTTGGTAGCTAATGTAGACACATGCATCTATCATAGCTCACAGAGAGCACAAGCAGGAAGACACAGCGATGATAGATAGACTTCACAGATATTTCTGGGTGATAAAGGGTCAGTGATTACCTGTGTCTGTGGCTGATAGGGCGACATCAATTTTTTTTTTAATTCATTGAAAGACTGACTTGAAATCTGTTTCTTAGAATTAGTTGAAAAATTCTAGTACTTCGGGTATCATCCCGAACCAACTTATAGGTATAATCTTTCTTTGGAGGCAGTATAACTTGAATACATGATTTTTATCTGCCTGGTATTTGATTTAAAGGAAAATGCAGGCACCTGTTCCATCCCCATTATCTGTTCAGGTACCGTGAAAGCAGGACGGATGGCCCAGGTCTGTTTCCTGCTGTCCCTGGTGTCAATAGGGCACGTCTGTGTAGCGCTGCAGGCTGTCTTCTGGGATCACAGGCATATTCTTTATGCATGTTTTGGTTCCGGGATTGTGTTACACCAGGGGTATTTTGTATGAGGCTGTTTCCCCCATAACATTGTAATTAAATTCAATGAAGGATGGTATCTTAGAATGGAGAAAACAGTCATTGTTGATTTCATCCAAAGAATGGTATTTCTCCAAATTTACTTGTCCTATTAAAGTCTTGAAAAATACAATATAGTGGGGATTTTAAAAAACCTGTCTGTTAGAGGCAGTGGAGTGCAACAGAAAGGCTTTGAAGTCAAGCAGACTTGGGTCCAAGCTGCTGCTATGCCATTTATCAGGTACAGGAATCTTCCATTCTGCATTTATAAGTTAGAGAGTGGTTTTATTTTAACATGGTAAAGTCACAGGTACTCAGTTACTTTGAAAGCTTTTGGAATATAGTCAGTCTTTTATCCTCACTCCCTTTGCTCTAGTTCATCCCCTTAAGACTTGTTTAAAGCAAAGTTCTATGGTATCTCCTTTGATGCCATTTGTAAGTACAGTATGGTAACTCCATAATGAAATTAATATACCTAAGAATTGGAATGTTCTCATTTTTCCTATATAGACTTTCTGTGTGTGGACACACCCCCTCTTTAGTGGTCCCTGAGAACATCAATAATTCATAATTAATTCAGCATTAATTTAAGCCTTTGTGAAAACTTTGACATTTTAATTAGTTATGAAAGAAGTAGGTGGCGGATACGGGGGGGGGGGGGCCGGTGACTGCAAAAACCCAGTGTGACCAGTTTAACTAGATGAATAGTGTTAACCTCCGCCATCGTGATCAGCTGGCTGTAGGTTCTCTGGTATGAAGTTGCCTAAAACTTTTCGCTCTCCTTTTTATTTCACCTCAGCGATGCATTTCTGATGGTTCTAGAAAGATGAAGGGCTGTCTTTACAGCGATGCTAGCAGATTCTTGAAACTCTAGAGGTCTCAGTGGCGATGCTGTGAATGAGTTCTGTGCTAATAAACAAACAAAACATGGTGTTTGCCTTAGCATGCACATCCTGCAGGACTTGGCAGATGGGTCTGCGAGAGCACAGAACTGCATGTCTGAAAGTAAGGTTGGCATCTGTGCATGCCTTGCATTGTTCCAGCCAAAACGGATATTAGTCTAGATGCTGCATGTTTAAAAATTGAACACAGACCTATAGCATGTTTCATTTTTTAAGAAGTCATTTATCAAGTATGCATGTCCAAAGTCAGGGGGCTCTAATCATACACAATTCTGTACTACAGCGTGATGCCCACGTCATAGGACCTAATGTACTATGGTATCCTTAAAGATTAAATGCATATTAAGCTGGGCAGTAGTGGCTCACGCCTTTAACCTCAGCACTTGTGAGGCACAGGCAGCCGAATCTCTGAGTTCAAGGCCAGCCTGGTCTACAGAGGAATTCCAAGACAGCCAGGGCTTCATAGAGAAACCCTGTCTTGGAGGGGGGAAAATGTAGCTTTAAGAAGGACATGACAGTTTGGGAGACACACTGCTATTTGTAAATATGCCATGCTTAGCTGGGCTTGGTGTATGTAGTAAGTTAGACAAACGAGTTTCCATATGCAATAGCAATTTAATAGAAAGGATAGAGCATTTCTTCCAAAAGGGTACACATTTTCTCTCCGAAGATATCACATCAGTCTACACGCTACTAAGAAATGATTCTGCTTCAAGGTTGTGAATATAAAAGTTGTTGAATTTTTCAGAATATATAAGTCCTTTCCATTAATTTTCAACCTGTGTAATGCAGCAGTACTTCGTTTTCCAGAATGTTCCTATTTGCCTGAGTTGTATTAAGTATATTTAGAAAATACTAGCACTCATCTTGAATAACTTTAATGGACTGGCATAAACAGTAGGAAAGACCTTAGCATCAGAGGCCACATTTGACTGACTTCTGAATCAGCCCACTGTCAGCCTGAACTTTTCCTTGCTCTGTCACTGGGGCAATGTAGGAATGGCCACAAACTCTTGCTTCTGTTTGGCTAAGACTTCTGGGACAGCAGGTGTTACTCTGTGGCATGTAGCATTTGCACACTGCCAGACTCAGCAAGCACCGTCCACACTCCCGTTATCAGTCAGGGCAGAGGGACGGCCTTAGAACCTACAACACTACCTCACCTTGTCTCATGGGGCACCACACTCGTTAAGGCAAAGTCTTACATTTTAAAAAGCGTAGATTGGAGCAGCAGGTTATAAAATGCTAGTATGAGCCCTCCATGACTGTCTTTGAGCTTCTCACTTAAATTTATTTACTCTAGTGTTTCTGATAAGTAAAACAAAGACCCATTTTGGTATTGATCCTACTGCTCCCCGTCCAGGAGCTCTGAGAAGGAACATGAACTTTTCAGTTATAGTATGGAATGGTAGGGAACCAAGCACTGTGAAGATTCAGGACTTCACAGTATAGAGGAGTGCCCAAGAGGAGCTTGGTATAAGTTGTGAAGTCAAGTTCAAGGTAGCCAGCCGTCTGGAGTCTACAAATAAAACAATGATTCAGTCCCTGGGTCTACTTAGAGCTAAATAAATGTGCGTGCCAGTTCCCTAGTTTACATCACAAGGAATTGTGGGGCATTCATAACAGTTCATCAGACAGAGAAAGAAGTTTCTCAAATACTTAAGCATTTCCAAGCTATGAATGCCATTCTTGATTCAATACAACAGAGCAAGTAGCTTTATCCAGTTCTTGGAGCACCCCATGTAAAACTTTACATGTTTTAACACAAGGTCACATCTTCCTCTTGGACTATTCTCCCAACAATTTTTCAAGTTCTCTTGTTAGTCTTCAAAAGGGGCTTGTCTGGGCTTCTCATTTCCGGGGTGACAGCCCCTCCTTTATTTGGTCAGTTTCACTCTGTAGTTATCACCTGGTATTGTGTTTTGTTTCTCTTCCAGAGTGAAAGAATTGAAAAAGGCCAAGGAACTTGAAGACATACAGCAGCATCCCTTAGCGATGTGACATTGCTTCTCAGACTGTTTTCATTTGTTTTTAGCAGAGACATGCAACAACAACCAACATGCTCGTGCACACACACACACACACACACACACACACACACACACACACACACACACACACACACACAAAATCCCTCTGCAGTTTTGGGGAGTCAGCTGCAGGATTTTAACAAGAATGTTTTGGTCATTGCATTTGCACTTTCATGGACAACTTTTAATTTGATCAGCAAGACATCTTGGAACTCAATCTTCTGTTGGATCACAGGAAAACAAGACACCAGGAGGAACTGGAAGGGCTTCCTCATCTTAGGAAGAAGCCACTTCCCATGTCATTAGGGCTGTATTCAAACATCGTGTGGAACTGTACAATATTTATACCAAAAATATAGATAAGAACAGGTGCGGTGATGCGAGCAACCCAAGCAGTGCCGGGCCTGCGCCTTCGGTTACTTCCAAGAAGCTGAATCTTTGGTTCTCAGTGGAGGGCTTAGATCACCCAAGTCATTATTGAGTCTGTGTGTTCTCATTTCCTTCACTGTTCTGTTTTGTTTTCGTTTGTTTGTTTGTTTGTTTGTACGTACGTTTGTTTGAATCTCTACAGCACACTTAATGCAACTTTTAAAATCTGCAGGTTTTTAATGTCTTGTGAAAATTTGCAGAAGGGAGGGTGTGTGGTAAACAGGTAATGCACGGGAAATAATGAGAAACAGCTTACAGAATTTAAATTTACTTTCTTGTCCCCACCGCCTCCCAAGAACCTGCAAGGATAGTGATCATCTTGTCCCCTTTCTCATGTTCAGCACTTTAATTTGTTTGCCTTACTTTCACTTGCAATGAGAATTACTTAAGAATGGTAAAGCATGTAGCCTTTTTTAGTAACCTTGGAAACTGTAGTAATTCCAAGGAATCATAAACCTTGCCTGGGCATTTGCCACCTAAACGACCAGCGTGGTGCTGCATTCTGGCCAGTAAATTCCATGTTTTGGCTCTATCTCATCCAAACGGAGTGGCTTCTGTGTACATATAAGAGGTAGAAATGAAGAAAAGCGAGGAAATATTTGAAAGGGGTTATATTAATTGCTAAATATTTTATTCACAAAGGTCAATAATATGGCAAGATGAAATTATTTGTATAGTTTTGTCTGAATGAGCAAGAACAATGTGGATGTATTGTTTGTATATATTGTATATATTAAAACAAAGATGTGCATGAAATCAAGAAAAAGAACAAAAGCAAAGCGTTAGTGGCTATGGTCTGTAAAATGAAACAAAAAACTTTATTTCACTATAAGAGTACTTTATTTTAAATGTTCTGTAGAAGAACATTTTGCTAAAGCATGACTAACCTGCAAAAAATAAAAAAGAGCTACTGTATTTAGAATAGGAAAAAAGGCAGAGTAGCATTACTTTTAAAAAAAAAGGATATGTTTACATTTAATTTTGGCTACCAGGAGTTTATTTTATTTTATTTAAAAAGATTTTTTTTTTGCCAAAGGTGCCAAGTAATGTGAATGCTAATATTGCTTAAGAAAATTAAGTTACTTTTGCAAAGTAGATAATCATAAGATGAACCCTATAGAACTTAACACCATCCACTCACACCAACAAAGAATGTTAGAACAACCAAAATTTGACAGAAGAATTAGTGTGAAATTAGAAAAGTGACATTTTCATCTCTCCTGCTGAAAATCAAAAGATGGATAAACGTTGCTCACAATGGCGACTGGTGTTGAAGGGATGCCGTGGTATATTTCTCTTTCTGTGTAATGAGAAGCCAAAGAAATCTGATGCTTTTAAAATTAAACCATTCATGTCAAACAGAGAGAACCGATTTTGCATTTTCTAATGCCAGTTTAAAATCCCAGCTTAAGTGTGAGAATTGGTTGGTATGAGATTTTCTTTAAAAAATAAAAATAAGAAACATGGTTCTGGCTGCCAACTGTGAGTTAAAACTCAAGGCTTGTTGTGAAGCCTAAAAATATTCACAAATAAGCTTTAAACTGGTGTCTTCAGAAGGAAGGTAGAAACAAAAAGATTGTGGTTAAAAAATTAAATAAAAACTGGGGTCAGTGCTCTTGGTGCCTTTTCTATAATTGTACTTGTTTTTTAATTACTTCCTTTCACTGCCAACCTCAAATTACTGTACAGTATATGTCTTTCTGCTTGTGATCAGCTTGGACAACAGTGACAGCCCCACAGCTAGTAGCCCCCTGTACATTCGTAAGCAGACCTGACCCAATTTTGTTTTCACATGTGTGGGTTATGTTGCAGCTGTTGTAATCCTTGCCCCCTACCCACCCATACCTATTATTTTACACAATTTGACCTGTCTGAGGACACTGAGTAATTTAATAAAAACACAACTGTATTCATAACAGGGAATAGAATGTAAAGCCAGCTCTTTCAGAATATCCTATATTAATACTGGATTTGGATACATTTACTCCATTGCTTACGGTTCAGATAACTGATCATTTGACCAGAGTGATGACCTCAGTGGATTTGCTTCAACCCTCACATTTATTTTTTTAAATGTTTCACATGCCACATTATTAGCTCAATAAGTTAGAAAATTCTGGAAGATAGAGACTTACATAGAATTAGGAAGTTCTTATGGAGGGGATAGAAGTAGGGTCAAAACCTACCAGTACAACTGTGAATTCTAGGTGAGGTTGAAGCGTACTTCCACTGAAACAAAGCATTTCTGACCACCTTTTTTGATTGCGACTCTTAATTTTGAATATAAGGTGATAGGTAGGCGCAGCTTTCTTGGATAATCTGAATTCCCAAGTGCCAGGAGTAGGATTTCATTATAAAATTAATAGCTAATCTTATTCTGTCTCCTGAAGATTTAATTGCTATCCTTGTTACCCATTCAAAATCAGCTGTACTGTGTGAATGAAATAAAGACATTACGACGAACCCCTTTCTGGCTGCACGGTCGCTTATGGCAGTTCCACACAGTAGTTGGCGCCCAATGGGGGGTCCCTGAGACTTGCATGTAAAACTAGTCTAGATGTCTTCTTTTTTTGTAAGTTTTATTTTTGTAACTGTGCATGTAAAGCATCATTGACTCAATGGATCTGTTGAAGAACTCAGCTGCTGGAAACCATGCAAAATGTTTTGAATTGCCCTTAAAATATGGAAAATGTTTTCTGAATGCTTTATATTCTTTCTGCTGTAAATTAAAAATGAAGAAAATTTCCCCATATTATCTGTGTTTTGCTTTAACCTGACCTGAAATCCAGGGTGTTGAGGTTGAGATCATAGTTAGAACTGGAAGTTTTGTTTGTTTTTTTTTTACCTTCCACATGATGTGTTTTCCTGCCCAGTGTTTCACTTAGAGCCACTTTCCCAAAGGACATGCTTTCCACCTACACTGCCTGGTTTCTCAACACATCAATCATTTGTCTTAAGTGCAGTTACTTGAAAGATAAGTAAGGATCTTACTGTGAATTCACCTTTTCTCGTGTACCCTGGGTACTCCTAAGTTCCCTGTTTAAGCTCAAGGATGACCTTGAACCTCTGACCGTTTACCTACAACTTCCAAATGCTGAGATTATGGGTGCCAACAGGCTGGGGTTGTTTGTTTGTTTGCTAGTTTGTTCTTTCCAGACAAGGTTTCTCTGTGTAACAGCTCTGGCTGTTCTGAAACTCAATCTGTAGACCAGGCTGGCAGGGAACTCGCCGAGATACACCTCAGGCTGGGTTTTATGTGGTTCTGGGGATCAAACCCAGGACTTTCATGTGGGACAAGCCCAATACCAACTAGGCTATACTCCTCAGCTCTACCGAGTAGTTGTTTTTCGTTTTTTTTGTTTTAAGCCCTTTTCCGGCTTAGCTCACTTAGGTCTCCCTTCTAGGTACTTTATCATTATTCCGGTCCTCTTCTCTGCAGAGTTCTGCTCGTCTCTCTAGGAGTGCCTCACTAGATGTACCTCAGAACTAGTGCCAGACGTTTTCACACTGAGTCTCCCAAGAGGAGTCCCTGGTACTTTCTGGAGCCCGCTGCATTTAAATGCCTTTGTCTTGCCTGTCTTCACTCTTGTTGTACTTGAGCCCAGCCCCACATTCTCTAGTTCTGTGCTGCACCTCCACTTAACCTAGAACGCGCCCCCCACCCCCCGGCCCCAGCTACCACTCAACCCAATACCCACTCAGGTGGCACGCTCTGCTTTCCAGCACACGTTAACTTTCTGGAATTACCATCCTGGAGTGGAAGACAGCTTGGGGGTTTTCACTTAGGAACCCACCAGCTGCCCTCATCTGGTCTGCTTAAGCATGTTGGATTGCATTGTAGCGGATACTACTCACCTCATTCGACCAAAAGTCCGGGGCCAGAGAGTTACAGAAACCAAGAGAGTTCTCAACGTCAAGGATCCCTTCAGGGATGGTGGTATCCGTGCAACGGCAGACACCTGTCACCGCTAGTGAGAACACGGGGGTGGGGGCTCCAAACGGGCTTCCTCCCGCCCCTTACTTACCTTCCTGGCGGAGGCACTTGGGTTGTGTCCCCAGGACCACTAGGCTACTCTGGGGCGTTAGCACGCACGCCGTTTCTAATGTCGTCACCACCCAGAGACGACGTAAGCAGGCCCAGAGGGCTGTGCAGCGCACCGGTTCTTACTCTAACCTGCCTTTCCAGGGTAGAGACAGGGCAGCGGCCGCGACACCCGACACCGACGAAGCTGCTGCTGCTGCTGCTGCTGCTGCGA